CCTCCCTCCCTCCCTCCCTCCCTCCCTTTTAGAGTTCTTCAGCAGCTTAGAATCTAGAGGAACTGGGTGGTATTCAGACTCCATGTGCGGACAGCGTCGGTGCCTTCTGGGTTTGGCTTCTCTCCCTCACAACTTTTGCAGATGTGGCTTACAGGGCTGTTCCCGTTGTCCTCCACCCCCTGGCTCAAGTGATCCTTCTGCCTCAGCTTCCCAAGTAGCTGGGACTGCAGGTGCATGCCACCCGGGCTTAAAGTGTGCATCTTCAACGGTGTAACTGTCTGCATATAACTCAAAGTCATCTGCAACTTATTATATTTTCCACAGATGTGTAAATGAATGCAACTGTTCCTCAAAATTATTATTTCGGGGCTGGAGAGATGGCTCCGAGGTTAAGAGCACTGGCTGCTCTTCCAGAAGCCCTGAGTTCAATTCTCAGCAACCACATGGTGGCTCACAACCATCTGTAATGAGATCTGGTGCCCTCTTCTGGCATTCACCAAACATGCAGGCAGAACACTGTGTACATAATAAATAAATAAATCTTTAAAAAAATTATTATTTCTTCCAAACCCAGAGTTACTTAATATCACATCCCTTCCCTACCGTTCAACAATGCCTTCTTGAACGTGTGTCAACCTTATATGACTAACAGCATTTCTATTTTCCTTCAGAGACAACCTGAAACAGCAAAGGACACCACAAAGAAGCAGTCTGGTGGAAGCAGCCAGCGCCTTTTCCCTGTCAACATGTTCAAAGGATTAATATAACAAGAATTATGCTGTTTGGCATCCCATCAGTTTATGGTATCGTCAAATGTAAATACAAATATTAGCTGGAAATGGTGGCACACATCTGTAGTCCCAGCACATGGCCAGTGAGGCAGGAGGAGCAACTAAAATTTGAGGGATATTTGACGAGCTTTAGGTCAGCCCAGGCTGGAGTGTGAAACTCTATCTGAAAAAACCTAATTTTTTTTCTTTTCAGTGTGAACATTTATTTATAAAGTAACTCAGGAAGTTATGTAAGAAATTCACAAAGTATATATAATAATAATGCTATGAAAAAATGAGTGTGTATATGTATACACACATGCATACGCACTTTAAGCTATGTTTTAACCAAAAAAAAAAATAGAGTGATTTTGCAAAATTAATTTTCCTCCTCACCTTTTTCCAGATTAGGCATGTATTACAAATTTGTTCTCTCTGCCTCCCACATTATACTAATCAGGACAACAGGCCTGGACAATTATATGTGAACCAATGACTGGTTTTAACAACTAACGTGACAGGATAACTAATAGCCTACGTATAAATAAGAGGAAGAACATTAAGATTGAGTACATGGAGTGAATTTCAGCTGACCAAACAGCAGATGTTTTCTGAGCCTCATGTCTCCCTGATGAAGCAGGGGGTTGTGGCTGTTGACTTCACAGGGGCTTTAGGCAGTACAGCGGTTCTCTGACATGACTACAAAGATCGGTTTGTGGACACAAGGAAAAGGGACAGAAGGACAAGAGACGAGGGACAAACTGACACACCAAGTGAGAGATATTTGGGGGACAAACTTATAATTACTTACAGTGTAAACATTAAAATACTATTTTTTCTTGGGCTGGAGAGATGTCTCAGTGGTTAAGAGCACTGACTGCTCTTCCAGAGGACCTGGGTTCAACTCCCAGTACTCATACGGAGGCTCACAGCTTGGGGATCTAATACCTTCTTTTGGCCTCTGCAGGCACCAGGCATGCACATGGTACAGATAGGCAGACATGTGAACAAATCACTCACACACATAAAATAAATGAATGAGTAAAACATTCTTCAGAATACATGTCATAAACTATGGTTCATAACACTGTAGGAGGTCACATAACTTAGTGCATGAAGGTTATAAAAAATTTGGCAACAATAAAAGATTTCTGAACATGCAAACACCCCAACACAATGTGCAGTTAAACTGAATGTACGGTGATTCTGACAGGTTCATGTCCTCGCAAGGCAGCATGTCTCCGCAGCTTCGTTCTGAACACACAACACACACACTTTACACTGCGCATGTCTGACAGATGCTGCCTGTTCCACGTAGGCTCTATGTAAGATCACTGTAAGTTATAAACTGCTGTGTTTTTCTGTGATACCAAGTAATTACAGGAAACAGGAGCTTCGAGATTTTCCTACTGTTGTTCCTTAGCACGAACATACCAAACGAATGTATCTTTGGATTGTATTGTTAGAACATTTGAATTTAAAATTGCTATTTAAGTTGCTAACTTTTTTATGAAAGGTAATTAAATGACTTTTGGCTTGGGATTCTGTCCTAATTAGGACAGAATTTCCAATAACTTCTGAAATGGCCCTACACAAGCTTCTACTGTTCTGTACTACATATCTTGGTAGAGAAGAATTCTCTACACCGAGGATCAAAGTTGCCATCAGTTGTGATAAGTGTTGAAGATGCTTCATGGCATTCAGTATCAAATACCCAGCCAAGACTTAATTCTATCTGTAAAAATAAGTAAGTACAAGCATCTCATTAATATGTAAATTTGCTTTAATCAGTAACAAATGGAAAAATCATTTTAGCAAAGAATTGTTTTGAAGTACAAATTCTTGGTGTGCATTGCTATTTTATATACTTATCTATGAGGGTCAGGAGGAAATGTCTTAGGTGAAAAGGGGCAGTGGGTGGGAGAAGTTGGTGAGGTTCTACCCTAGAGAGTAACCCAGCAGACCCATTACATCCAACACACACAGTTCAAAACAAACACAGGGAAGAGGTAGGTTTCCGCAAGATAAGACTCTGCTCCAAAAGTAGGCTCTAGAGGCATGAAAATACAATAAAAACTCCCTCACGATTTCCTTAAAATTATTTTGTATTTAAATAGAATTCAGTTAACATGTATACCTTACAGATGATTTAAAAAAGAAAAGAAAATTTTAGCCACTGAAAGGAAGCCCTGTACAGTCTGGGAATGACATGTGTAGAAGTTCAGTCAGCAGATGAGGATTGAAGGAGACAGAAAAGGCACGAGAGAGAAGCAATGGATGACGTTCTCCATCATCCACATCTGGGGAGAAGGTAAATACTGATGGGAAATTTAAGCAAAACATCATCAAGGAAAAAACCCTTGTTATTCTTCACCTCGTTAAATGAGAACCCAAGAAAGGCCGAGACACACTGCACTGCTTTGCTAACCTACAAGTGAAGTTTATTTTTCCAGATATTTGTCATATAAGTAAGGGAACACAGCTCTCAAAGCTCTGGCTAACTTATGAAAATGTTATGGCCTCAGTTATAACACAAATGTTAGATTTCAAGCAAGCATGAGTCGAGGAGGATGGAATGGAGACACAGAGGCTCGGAGCAGAGCTAGTGTGAGCTGAAGAAAAACACAGATCAAGGGTTACAACAGTGTTTGCACAGAGCTAAGCAGCCTCTGTCTTTATGGAAGTAACTCTTGCTAAAGTATTCCCGGGGTTCACTTCTGTGTAGGCTGCCAAGTACCAAGAGGTTGTGCCATCTAGTCTGATAAACACCGAGTGCTAAAACACTTTCCTGGAATTGAAGATGAATGCCAGATTGGGTACAAATGCCCAGTGACCTGAGAACCTTCTAAACTCAGATTCCATACTGAACCGTGGTCTTCTAGATGCACCAAGAGTTTCGCTGTAAGCACAGAAGCCATGTTTAATGCACGGGACATGAGAAAGTTCATCTATGAACTACCACACATTTTACAGTGTTCAGGGGAATTTATCACGATACTGAAGGCCTTCAGTAAGAGTAAAGGAACCAAACTGATTTGTGAGACTGACACAGGAGGATTAGCGTGAGTTCAAGGCCAGCCTGGGATATTTGGGGGTGACCCTTTTTCAAAACAAGACAAACACAAAAAGAACCAAGAAGTTGTAGATCATGAACAGAGCTGCTCTGTTCCAAACACTGAACGCTGAACTTCAGGCTAGAAAAAGCTAGTTAGAGCCGGGCAGTGGTGGTGCACACCTTTAATCCCAGCACTTGGGAGGGATCTCTGTGAGTTCAGCCTGGTCTACAGAGTGAGATCCAGGACAGGCTCCAAAGCGACACAGAGAAACCCTGTCTTGAAAAAAACAAAAGAAAAAGCTAGTTAGTTCCCTGACCCTCCCCCCGTCCTGCTTGCCGTGTATGGCGCTTAAGCTTTATGATTTTTTAAAGTATTTGTTTTACATCCCAACCACGGTTTCCCTGCCCTTCTCTCCTCCCAGTCCCTCCCCCACCTCCCCTCTGCCCCCCATCCACTCCTCCTCTGTTTCTGTTGTCACTTAAGCTTTAAAACACAAAGTCAAGGTACCATCTCCTGCCTTAACTATTTCATTGGCAATGTTCACACTCCAACAAGACACCTAGCAAAGCTACAGGGCAGCGTACAGGTAAAAGAGGAATGCAGATAATCTCTTTACAAAAGCCACGGTTATGCCAATGCTGGACTCCAGGCAGAAAGCTGGGAGCACAGTGGTCCATGAACACACGACTATTACACGTCCCCAAAACAAAAACCATGTTGTCAGAGTCACTAACAAAGGAAGACCCGACACCAAAGCCATGTCACTTGGACTGAGATATCCTGGAAGAAAAAATTCTAACACTGTGACCCCCACCAGAGCTGAGCTTACTTCCCAACACTGTGACCCCCAGATGACCCCACTTCCCAACACTGTGACCCCCCAGAGCTGAGCCCACTTCAACTATGACCTCCCCCAAAGATGAC